AACTTACTCACGGAGTCTTTTAGTAAAAAATAGAAGTACGGACGGTTGTAATTAGTTAGTTTTGGTTCTGTCCTGATGTGGCACGCAAATTCTCCTTACTGCTGTCTATGTATTTCTTATAGTACGAACTGGGAGAGTTTGTTTCAGTAACAAAATAATGGTGTCGATGGCAATTCCTTATTTCAGCCGACCTGCCCGCTTGTTTTTGCATTGTCGTTGTAAGGAGAGAATAGATCTGATCACTGTAAGGTACTGAACAAAACGAAAATAGGTAAAGTAAGTGCGAAACAAAACGTTTACAATCATTATTGAAATGTTGTTGTTTTTGGGGGGCGTATTAATAAAAGCCGCATAAAGCGGCTATGAAAATCAAATCAAAATATAGACAGGGGAGAAAATATAAGGGAAATCGATTCCTGTTGTGACGGAATGTTAAATTTAGTGAAGGGAAATTCTACTTCAGTCTAGTTCAAGTTGACCGTTTATTATGTTTATGTCTTGTGGTCACCTCGTGATTTCTAAGCCATCATTGTCAATATGTGCGGGGATCAGATAACCCGTGGCTCGCACATTTGTACTTTTGTTTTCTATTACTGAACTTATAATATGTAAGAGAGCGTGTGTTTTAGAATTGTTACTTCCTACTGAAACATTCCATTTTCTGAGTCGATTTCATGTCGTCAATGTTATTTACACTGTGGTCTTAAAAAATGCAAACTATGCTCAAAGAGTAGGCGCAAATGCCGCCGCTATCTCGAGGGGGTCAGTCGAGTCCGGTCGGTGACCTACACAGCGACAAAACACAAACTTAGAATTGAAGATAAATCTGTTTCAGGAAATTCATTTGGCACCGAATGATACACTGCGAGTGTTTAAGACACGTAAGGTAATCACTGCGGCAAATCACTTTTCTAGATAAATACAACAGAGAAACGATTGTCACAGTGTTACTAAAGGAAAAATTAACAATCATAAACAACTTCAATGAGAAATTAAGACCACCCCTCCCCCTCATTAGTGTGTAGTGTATATGTATTTTTGATACTACGAGCTGGGAGAATTTGTTTCAGTAACAAAATAACTGCGTCGATGGTAGATGGTAATTCCTTATTTCATCCGACCTGCACGCTTGTTTTAGCATTGTTGTTGTAAGGAGAGATAAGATCTGATCACTGTAAGGTCTGGACATAACGAAAAAAGGTTAATTACAATTTTTATATGGCGAGGGTCGGAAATCGTAAATGTTGTTGTTTTTTGGGGAGGAGGGGGCTGTATTAAAGCCACATAAAGCAATGAAAATGAAATCAAAACTAACAGAAAGGGAAGAAAATATAAGGGAAATCGATTCTTTTTTTCTACAATTCGTATCAAGCAAGGGCCGGAAATCAACATTCTTCAAATGAGAGGTCGCCGACCAGACCAATTTCAATGAGAATGAAATCAAAAATAACAGAAAAGGGAGAAAAGATAATGGAAATCGATTGTTGTTGTGACGGAATACAAAATTTAGTGAAGGGAAATTCTAGATATCTGCCAAGTTCAAGTTGACCCTTTATTATATTTGTCTTGTGTTTGCCTCGTGATTTCTAAGCCATCTTTGTGAACATGTTTGGAGATCAGATAACACGTCTCTAGAACGTAGACTTTTACTTCAGTTGTTGAACTTTGCAGAGATTTTGGACGTTCAGAATATCATTACGAAAGAGTGTGTTAAAAGCGTGCCTGGAATTGTAGTTAATGAAACATTCTATTTACCGAATCAATTTCGTTTATTTCATCAATGTTATTTACAAAATAGAAGAAAATTTTATCGATCTGGTTTTCAGAAGTGCAATATATGCTCATACATCGACAAGACACAAACATTACAGACCCTGAATTTTGTTTCAGGAAATTCAATCGGAACGGAATGATTCCAAAACGTAAGCCATACGTATTGCCATTTAATCATTCTTATAACGCCTATAGAGGTTTCTACTCGGCGGGGACTCCCACTCCCACACTCACGATTGCAAGAATTAACCACAAAGAAAAAACAGGATTTGTTTTTCTTGGATCAGAAACACAAAAAATGATCAATTGTGATGTACTCCCTCCTTCTCCCCCAGAGTAATGACGTGACTTGAATTCGCAATCTAATAGAAAACCAGTACCCGGTCAGCGGTCATATTAAACAAACACGCGATGTAGATGAGCTCTAAACCTAAGCCCACCATGTGGTCACTTGATACTGGTCAGCGGATACCTTGTTTTGACAGCTGTCAATTAATCATAACATGGATGTCAAATATCAGAGATGTACCACACACATGTATAGTGAGGGTTCTGGCGCAGCACTCACGCACACAGTG